CCCAGCAGTATATAAAGTGATTAATAATTACTCTACATTAAGAATGATGCAGCTTACACATTAATGCGTCACTAATTATAATAATAATAAGTAATATAATACATATAAAATGAGACATTCTGTATAATGAGTAGTTTTTAGTACTTTATATGTTCATGCTAATACCTAAATACTTTTACTTTAGTAGGAGTTTGAATGCAGACTTTCAGTTTACTGCTAGCAGAGTATTTTTAAACTGTGGTATCGCTACTTTTACTCGAGTAAAGATCTTAATACTTCTTCCATCTCTGCAATATCACACTGTGAAAATACCCTGTTACAAGTGAAAAGTCCTGAACTGAAAATACAGTAAAACTACTTAATGTCAATTTAAACAAACCCTGTTTATATACTATCATTAGTTTATTATTACTGATTCATTAATGTGTAAGTAGCATCTTACTGTTGAAATGTAGTAGACTGGAGATATAAAGTAAAATGACAATAGTCAGATGAGTTCCACAATTTTGTGCTTAATTACAGTACTTGAGTACTTGAGTAAATGTACTTTCCACCACTTTTAGGTTTTGTATCAGTGCATCAGAGACAAAATAAATCTAAACCATCAAAATATACTAATTTTGTTTTATTTTTTATGTTTTAAGGCTTAAAATAACTCTCTTAAACAAGAAAGACATCCTGTAATTAACAGAATACGATCGCATTGATCACCAAGTTTCAATATTTCACAGTTGTCAGTTGTTCTATTTAATGTTTTTTACGTCAAAATGGGCGAAAATAAACCAAACACCAAACAATGAGAGAGACTGTAACTCAGTCTTTGTTACAAGATATATAATGGAAAACTTTGTTATGAATTGGCGCTATACAAATAAAATTGAATTTAAATTGAATTTAATTGAAAACTTTGACTGAAAATAGTCCCTGACTAGGACCAACCAGCAGACTGTTTAGATGATAAGCTGTTGCCTTTTTGAATTTAACAAACTACTTTCTGTATCCATATTCATTCATGATTTTCTCCATTAATTATCAAAGTGTAGTCCCATTTGTAAGGGAAGAAAAGCATGTTTTGTATGTAAAATATAGCAGTTGTTGCTTATTTGTTTACCGTAAACACACCGGATCTCCACACTGACACACTGATGATTTATTGATGTTAAAATGCAATATGTTAAAGGAAAACCCGAGCCCAAAGATACATTCCCACACAAACATTGAGCACTGGTTTTTTGTCCTCAGCGGGGACAGAAGTTCAATGACAGTTCACAGCAGGTCAGGGGAGTGGCCTTCACGGTCTTGTCGAGCTATTCTTGTACCTGCCCATGATCAAGTTTCCAGTTCAGACACACCAGGTGCTGCTGCGAGCCTCTCACAGCCAACACGACTCCTCTGGATATCCTGACACTGTGCTGAGGACAGGGGGATGACATTAAACTGCAGAGGCTTAACAGCGGGGCAGAAAGCTCAATACTATATTTGGGTTTTTTTAAATGTGCTTCATCGTTGGCGGAGGTATTCAGCTTCCTGACTCAGTAGTGACAACATGAATGAGCTCAGGTTGAAGAAAATGAATTACTCAGATCTTTTACTGTGAAAAACTACAGCACGACAACTAATCAATTACCGTAAAACTATTAATACAAGCAGTCCCAAATAAACGGGTCTCCATTAGAGGCCTGGTCTGGATTTTATAGAAGTTCCTTGGATGTATAAATCCTCTTAAAGTCGTCCACTTGAGCAAGTTTTAAGCTGCTTAACATCAACTACATAAATATAAAGGTTTATTAATTTAGATTTACCAGCATGGTAAACAAGGGAGACAAAAAAAAGTGCTGACTCCCAACATCTGAAGTGGTCATAAAGTCTGTGTCCATTCCTAGATT